AGTCGGGGGCGGGGGGGGGAAACAGCCCCGCGCCTCCCGCAGCCTTCTGAGAGAGGAGGGTCAGCCCGACCTCGAGAGAAAAGACCTTCTCTCTGGCCATCTTCCTCCTCCGGTAACTTCACTAGTCTCCCGAGCGATGCGCGCTGCTCCGTACGTGCTCCAGCCCCACTCATGTGCAAGCACGCCAAAGGCGGGCTGGCATAATCGTTCCCCGGGCTGGCAGGGTGCCTATCGTGTACAGTATAGCGTTTGATGTACTGCGTCTCACACCACCGCAAGCTCCGAGACAAGCGAACACAGAGTGCCCAGTTACCCAGGATTTAATTACGGCGGAATGCATTCTCCATGCTGATTAGCAGAAAAATCAATCGGGGGCTTATTTGCCACAATGAACCAATAAAAAAACAATTTATTAGAGCAATAATCTCAGCCCCAAATGGTCTAAATATTATTGTTTCAATTGCATTGAGGGAATTCAGACTGGAAGTGTTACACAGAGAGCATCAGGGAGTCCTTCTCCATTAATTCAGTAAGAGTTTCTAACCTCTTTCCAGGGGCTCACTTGCCAGCTCAGAGATCTTTGAAACTGATGGCCAAGTTCCCCTGTTTTAGGTCCAGGTGTCTGGGTTGCTGTAGTACCTATGAGACAAGATGCTCTGTGGGCTGCAACTGTCTATATGCAAAGAGGCAAACCTAGCATACAGCTTCCCACTAGGTCTTAAAGATATCCTGCTTTCCAGTGATTTATATGTGAAATTCCTAGAAGAGGGGAGGCCGCACAAAAGGTCCCCAAGCCATAGGCGAGATAAATGCCTTGTTGTAATATCATTAGATAAACACCAAGTGATGTGCCAAAAATTCTCTGGTAGGGATGAGGGAGAAAGGCGTTCCCTTGGGAGAGTGCTGAGCACCAGGACCGGGCTGGGGCGTGTGGGGAGGATGGGGGGGACCGCAGCGCCCTCGCTTCCCCTCTCCCACGTGAAGTTGCTCCCTCCTTCTCATGATGGACTCGCAGTTTGCCGGGCTCCCCTGGGAAGTCCGTGGGAGGCTGGAGGGAGCACAGGCAACGCAGCGCTGGTGGGCCAGGTCACGCCAGGAACTGCGGGGTCCCCAAGAACTTAAAGTCTGTGACTCAGGAGATGCTGATTTTGCTTTACAGCTTTCTGTAACTCCAGTCATCTCTGTCCCAAACCGGAGAGGACCTCATTTCCTGCTCAGTGCTCTGCCAACCACAAGGTCTTTTCATAAGGCTGCCAGGGGTGCCTGGCTGCGGGAAGGACAGTCAGTGTTTGTCACCAGGGAATGAGCTGGCATCATAGCTCTAATCTGAGTCAACAACCTGGCTAGCCCTGAGCATGACTTCATAAATCATGCTATCTAATTGAAAGGCACATGCTTATATGTACAGTGTTTTTCAAAAAGGATGCAAAAACTAAAATAAAATGCAACAAACACTTATTTTCTTCCCACTAGCCTGTTAATCAGTCACCTGACTGTTTCAATTTACATTATTTCATGCAGAAAAAAAAAGAGAAAACATAAAACCATCTTGTATAGCCATAATAAAAACACAAATGAAAAAATTCATCTCTTAATGAGAGGCTTAGCCTTTTTCTAACACATCCCTAATAATAGGAAAACAATCTTTAAGTGTTTTTAATTTAAATTGTTTTCATGCTTAATTCAAAATTGCTAAATAATATTATCATGTGTCTATGTATCTATTTAGCATTGAGGCGTATGATATTTCAAAGCAATTGAACCAGTTTTGAAAGGAGAAAGAGTCCTTTACCATGCTTCTATTCACTTAAAAAAAAATGTTTGTTAATACACATACGCTGGCCCGCCTTTTTCTCATCCTCCCAGCAGAAATGAAATATAAATCTGGGGCAAAAGATCGCCTGTGTGCTTCTTGCTTTTCATACCCAAATCTCCTGCTTTATTTTTTTCACCCATAGGATCTGCAGGATCCCCCCTGTGAGAGGCAACTCAGCAGCTCGGTGCCCTCTGCCATTTCAGCACTGCCACTGGAGAAGCCCAGGAGGAGCAGAGCAGTAGCTGAGCAGCAATTTGAATATTCATATTTAACTCTTCAAACAACAGAAGATACTTCAAAACCATGTGTGAGACAAAATGCCATTAAACTTTCAATCATTAAACCTCTGTTTAGCTGTACTCCAGAAATGAGCAGTTCATAACAAACGGGGAATTCTGATTGACAGTTTGCTATCAGGAGCCCTTAAGTAGGATTTTTCCAGCTGTAACGCAGTGTACTCTTCAGTGCTCCCTTTCGCAAGATGCTATTTCAAGTATAGGAGCACGAGGAAAATTTACATAAAAGCTTTGTATATAGTATGTGATTGCTCTGAAATTAAGAAGCACCAGTTTTCCTCTTATTGTTTTAGAAATGAAGAGTGCATTTTGTTGTCTTGTTTACTTAGTGCGCTCTGATCCCTTGATGTGTTTCAAGCGCTTTCTGTCAGCATCACGAGGCCTTGCTTACCTGGTAAATTTTATGTGTGAAATGATTAGTGTTCAAAGTGCCTGAAAAAAACAACAGTAACGATGTCTGACAACTTTTCTTTTTTTTTTTTTTTTCCCTCTGAAATAATATTTCATGGTACATTAAATGGGTTACGCAGTCTCTTCTTAAGAGACCCAAGCAACGTATTGCTGCATACTTAATGTTTCATCAAGCCGCTAGTTTTTAAAAGGAAAAAAGCTGAAGGCAGCATGGAATCCTTCCCTGAGCCTTTTCTCAGTTTGTTTAGAATTTGATAAGGGATGGTAATAACTTGGAGTCAGATAGAGAAAGAAAAATAAATTTTATTTCACAATAAACCTCTTAGTGTGTCATTTGTGATCACAGGCAGATACCAGAAATGCTACTCGTTAAATCCACTGAACATTACTGTTTCAGAAGTCAAAATGTTTTTCACCAAACTGTTTTCTCGATGTTCACTTCGGATGTAGCAGTTAGAACCAGGGCAGCCCAAGGAGAGAAACAAACAATTAAAACATTTACGTATTTGATTCTTGATAGACATCCCTGCAAGGTAGGTTTTAACATTTTTTTCCTCTTAATTTTTTTTTTTTTTTTTTTTTTTTTTTTTTTTTTTTTTTTTTTCAGTAAGAAGGATAAGCTTGGAGTGCCCAGTCACCGTGGTAACTGCCAGAAAAATTCTCCTGAAGTTTGAAGAGGTCAGCTAACAGGGTCAACAACTCTGGCCTCTCTCTGAGCTGGGCCTGGCAGGCTCCATCCTGCGGTTGGGGTGTTAGCGCAGGCTGAGCCCTGGGAGGTGGACCATTCCAGCTCTGATATAAATTTTTTGAGTCAGTTCACGGCCTGGACTCTCCAGGTGGCCTCCAAAATCGATTGTGACCTTGTGACCCTGTCTAACGGAGGCATAGCATCCAACCTAAGTAAGGATTTAGCCAGGAACGACAGCTTTCCACTGAGTGTTATTGGGGACAGTACAAACAGTTTTGGAAGCAAGGAGGTAGGTATGAAGAGTAGAGGTCATTAAAAGCATATTAAAAAACTATTTCAAAAATCCTTGTTAGTGGAAAGTTTTTATTAGCAGTAACTGTTCCTTAAATAAACTCCTCTGGCAACTTTTTTTTTTTTTTTTTTTTTTTTTTTTTTTTTTTTTTTTCCCTGACAGCACTGCATCAAGTATTTCAGTGCATTAATGTATGAAAAATCGACACTTTATATATTCCAAGCCAAACTATTATTTTATCTACCTCTGGATTTTGAACTTGTAAATGAAGCTGACTGATGTGTTAAACTAGATGTCTATGAAGAATGTTTTTTTCCTTAATATCATAAAACCAGGAAGCTGCTTGTTAAAGTGGGTTGTTTATTTTAGGACATAACTTCTCTAATATGTACATTCTTTTTACATTGAAAAGAGTCTTATTTTGTCTAATTTTATTTTTAAAGTAGGAAATGAAGTAACATTCAGAATAATGTGGAATGAAAGTGTGAGAGTTGCACAGGCTAGTTCCTTTACTGATTTGTAATACAAATAGACAAGCCACAAATATGGTGAGGCATTTTTGTAGAAGAAAACTGTGGTCATGCTAAGAACATATTTACAGAGAATACAACTTTTTTTCCTTTAAGATTTTAAGGAACAAACTGTGTGGGGGAGGGAGAGGCTGCTGCAGGGGTCTGATTTTGTTATCAAATCTAGAAACTTGCCCTTCTGGGCAAGCGGATTTGCTCTTGTGTTTTATTCCTGCTTCTACAAAACCTCATCTCTGCATGCATTGCTCATATGAGTAGCCGGCAGTCATCAGATGAGTAAGCGGGGCTACACCAAGGAGCAAAGTCCAGTCTCCCAGGTGGAAAACACTCTCAGACTTTAAGTGACTTTAAAACTGCTCTGAAAGAAAGAAAATTGCATTAATATTTGCTCCCAGTCTTAGAAAAATTATGCAAATTTATTCCAGCAGGAATCTTGCCCAAACACTTCTTGTGTGTCCCAAAAGAGTCTTTCTTCCCAGTCACTTACCTGTTGAGCAGTTCCCCTGAGTTTGGAGGAGCTGTGCAGAGATGGGGCTATTAAATATGGGTTAGGATGAGAGTCTGAGCTGCTCTACCTGATAAATATCGTTGTACTGCTGAGAAGTCCCGTAAGTTACCACAGCAAGAGTCTCTCTAGATTTTACTAACTGTAACACCTTGCTTGACAGAAAGTCCTCCAAAATCCACAGATGCCTGTTGGCCAAGGTTTTACCTCTCATAGGGTTGGCATGATCTGCTCTGGTGGAATTGTTTGAAGGGCAGGAGCTTAATTACCAGGAATAAGATGGGGTGGGGCAGAACTGTGCCCTAAAATAATTTAGGGCCCAGACCTGCACATGCAGATATCAGTGGCGACACTCTGTTTAATTCCACTCTGAATACTAATCATAGTTTGTTGCTGTCATTGGTTTTTAACAGAGCTATGCTGAAAACAATTTATTCACATTAGCAAGTGTGTTGGTTCAGGGGAGTGCCTTGTGTGACTAAGCTTGGCAAGACAGAGCCTACAGCCCTCAGTGAGGACCAGCATGTTTGCTTGGTTTTCAGAAAGAAATATTTGAAAATAGAAATGGTGAGCAGCTGGAAGGTGAATCTTCAATATTTTCAAAAGCATCTTCAGAATTTTTAGCAGCTTTAGCATCTTTTTTTTTTTTTTTTTATTACTTACATCTTCTTTGTAATGTGAGCATCCAGTGCACCAGTTCTACCTGACAAACGGGATCAGTTCTAAAACAGATGATACAACTGTTCCACTGGAACTTTTGGACCAAAATTGCCCCAGATTTTCCCCACAGCCTCAGGCTTGGAATGGGGAATCGATGGCAGAGGGAACAACAAAGGGATCTCAAGAACATGGACTTGGGGCAAATTCTTTAATGTTTATTTCTGTAGATCCTATTGAATTTATAATCAACAGCAAATATACAAATGTCACTTGAAACAGGTCCTGGGCTTGCATCTTTTGTACCTCTTCATGCTGTTCAGTTGTTCATCCGCACCCTGGGATGTGGAGTGCCTGGAGACGTGCATGTGAGCAGTAGCGGTACTTAGAGGGACTATTCGCCTTCCTCTTCCCCTTCAGCTCAGTGAAGTGCTCACTCAGATTCGTTTGATTCCTTGAAATATTTTCTGAAGTGAAGGCTCTTTTAATTTTAACAGAGTGATATATATGAATGGGCTTGATACCGTGTTAGAGATGAACAGTCAGAATCACCAAAGGCTCTCATGGTTCCCAGCCTCTATCCTATGGATCACGGATAATCCATGAGGCCTTGGCAAGTTTGCTGCAGGTGGTCTGTGGAACTGTATTAAATAATAATGTTCATAGCCTTCAATTAAAATTTTGACGAGAAGAGTGTGTGGCAGTCTGCAAGAAAATCTGAGAGCTGAGAGTAATCTACTAGCCAGAAAGCTCTGAGGATGTCTGCTTTACAGGAATGTGTCTCACCTGTGGTCCACAAGGCATTAGAAGGTATTTTGAGAATATTTTCAAATTAAATACATACCCAGTTAAATGGACACACTTTATTACTCATGCAAGCAAGCAAAAGAAAAACAACACCCCCCCCCTTCAAAATAAAATGAAGAAAATAAAAGTAATAAATGAACATTGTGTTTGCTTGTATCTAAACCCCCCACTCCCAGGGCTCCGCAGAGTCAGAGGAGCCCTGCTCTGGAAAGCGGCACGTTGCCACTGCTGGATCGGGGCTGGCAGAGGTCTGTGTGTTCTGGAGGCAGAGGGAGGGCAAGCGAGCGCCGGGACTCGCAGGTGTGCTGGCGGAAGGTCCTCAACAAGTGCTGCATTTCCTTCTCCTTTCACTTCTCTCCACTCTGAGTGTGTGTGTGGCTGGCGTGCAGAGGAAAAGTCAAACTAATTCTGATGCTTTTCCCTATTCTGGGTGGACTAAGTCAGAGAAAGCACTTAGGGCAGCCTTTGTGGAAGGGTTACAATATAGGTTGATACTTTAGGAACTATAGGAAGTTCTTAATCCTTCCCTGCCTACGGGACTGTCATTTATAGACCCGCTATTGTCTCACTCATCTTTTATAAGGATGTTTCCTTACATTAAGGTTCCAAGAGCGACTGGACTTTGCCATTGTTCACAGCTATTTCGGTTTGGGGCTTAATGCACATCTAGTATTCTGTTTATGCTTTCACTGCTCTCCTACGCAGCAGACTGTACCTACACACTGGCTTAGGTGGCATCATTCTCAAAACGTTTATTTCTGTGTTTCTTTTTTTTGTTTGTTTCTTTTTTTTTTTTTTTCTGATTTGTCTGTGCGTCTTGATTTTGCATTAACCTACTTTATTACAGGTAACAACATAAAGCATGTGGAACTTTATGCATTCAGTTGGTCATTTCAAGTTCAGTTCTTGTTTGATGAACAGGCACGCTTGCTTATAAGAAAGCTTCTATGTGTTGTTTTTTCTCCAGGTTAAATTGCTTTTATATAAAAAAATGTCTATATATAACAAGAATGAATTCAGCCATGAGCAGAAAAAAATGGAGGTGTAGATTATTTTGGATGTATAAAATTCAGCTTGAAGTTAGTGGTGGTTTAATTACAGGATTTTTTTTATTGCTATTCATACAGACATCCATTGTTTTCTGCTTTGATTTATCTCCAGCTCATCCCCTTCAGAACCCCATTTCTGGCAATCTCAGCAACATGTGAGAGTCTGGCAGCTTCTGCAGACATTGCCATCTTCCCTTCACTGCTCCTTCTTCTGCGCTGTTACACCAGCTCCACAGCCTGTCATTTCTCAGAAGCCCTTAATGATGCCTTGCCTCTGTCATCTGCCCCATGGCTCTTCCAGAATCAGACACTTTTGTCAAAGTTTTTCAAACCAATCTAGAAATAGATACTGAAATAAAGGCAGGTGGTCTGGTGATCAGGTGATGTTCTGCCACTGCCTTCCTGCCCTGCCTTGGGCAGGTTACAGACCTCCAGAGCTCAGCTCTTTGTCCATAAAATAATAACAACTTTGCAAAGTGCTTTTATATGTCTGAAAGATTTGATGCAAATTAAAAGCTACCTAGATTTTGTCAAACCTGGCTCTACCTAACACTCCACTTCTGTCTTCTGGCTGCTGAAGATTTGCCGATCCGCCTTTTAGAGTCAGGCTTTGGCTTCAGGCCTTGCATGTAGCGACATCTGGGCTTTTAAATTACCCTTGTGTTCATAACATACATAGCAGCTCTGATGATTTTTTTCCACAAGCATTCTCATTCTGCTGAAAAAAAAAACAAAAACCCAACCCTGAACAAACTACAAACAGCGTGATGATGAACGGTCTCGAGTGCCCGGTAACCTTTACATGCTCCAGGCAGTGCCCAGCTTTATCACGGTCACTAGTGGGCCAGCGCACATCGAAACGTGTGATCTATTCCTTCCTGAGCCCCCGTTCCGCCTTGCTTAGCAGTTCCTCTCGCCGGTGAGTTGCTCTTGTAGTTTCCAGTTATGTAACCCATCTCATTTTGTGAATATGTGAATTTAACAGCTGTCAGTGTCAGCAGCGGTTGTGGGGGGTGGTTTTTTTTTTGTGTGGTTTTTTTTTTTTGGCAAGCTGGCATTACTCATCAGTCTCATGGTAGTTTTGTTTGAAAAATGCTTGTGTTAGAAAAAGTGGATTTATCAGCTCAGCACTGTATGGTGCTAGCATGCAGCACAACAAAAGACAAGTGCTCATTTCAGTAACGCTTGCAGCATTTCATGGGGCCCCCAAATAGGCTGAACAAGGCTTCTCTGGCAACTAACCCCAAGTACAGTGGGAAACTGTTAAAGTGGCAGTGTCACTGCCTGGAAAATGGATTTGGTTTTCTTCCATCGTTTATTGCATTTTTTATTTTTAAATAAAGACTATGAACTGTGTTAGGAATTTCACTGAATACTGGAGAAAAAAGAGGCCTAACTGAAAATGTTGTGCTCTTAGAAGTGTTTACATCTTACGGTTTCTTGGAGCGTGGACCAAACTGTCGGTCTGTCCTTCCCAAAGTGGGTCTCTTTTATGGGGAAAAATAAGATACTTGCAGCTTTTTCAAGTAATACTACAAAGTCAGTCGTGCTGCAACCATTCAGGAAGAACTCATTCTCTGTTTAAATCAGTTTATTTTCAGAATGATTTGCTGCACTTACACTTTCTTTTGTAACTGCTCTTCCAGAATGCAGATACAACCTGGAGAAGTTTTCTGTATTTGGCTGAATGTGTCAGGTGGTTAAAATCATGTTTTAAAAACAGTATTACATGTTGCAAATGTGTCAAACTCTTTGTTCACATATATTTAAAACAAATGTATTTTTCAGTATTTATTTGGTTTTTCTCTGTTTACACTCCATACAGATGGTGAAGATAAACCAGTGAGTTTCATTTTTGCTGAAAAATTGTCTTTCACGCTTTCACGTTCTCACACACTGACAAGATGCTACAAAACCCATGTGACAGAGATCAGAGGGAAACACTTATTTGAAGGAATCTTTGTCATTAGCTGTACTGTAAGTTTTATAAATGGTTCAATTTTATAAAATGCAAATTCTGGACTAACTGTTCCTCTGCAAGCCCTTATGGTCTCTGCAGCCGCATAGTTAATCTACTACCCGTCTCTACTCAGGTATCCAACAGAAGTCAGAGCTGGGTAAAACATGTCTTCACAGATCAGTTACATCTATTTTTAACTTTTATTTGTTAAAATGTGATTGTTTACCGTAATTTCCATCCAGACAAATGTATTTAAACATGCACCTTTTTAAGGCTGCACAAAAGGCAAATGCATCCCGCCGTGGGGGCACACGCACACAGACAGGTTTCCCTGGGTTCACCTCCCACGTGGAGGTGTGCCCCAGCTGCTGCTGTGGCTGGGTGGGAGGATGGGTGCTCGCAGCTCCCACCTCATCTGCCACTTCTCCGTGGAGAGAGGGGGCTACAGTGAACTGTCTCTGCGAGGACAGCGGTTTGTGGTTATCAGCTGCTGGAAAGCCTGTAACACCCCAAGAGAGAGATGCCAAGGCCAGAGACATAAATGTGCTTCGGCATCACGTCATGTCTGCACAGAGAGGGTGCAGGCCCTGTAGCCTCTGCAGCCCTGCCCGCAGCGTCCTGCAGCGTCCCGCGGGCATACACAGAGCAGCCACTCCTGGATACCAAGAGCTTGCTGTGAGTAACCCATCAGCTTCAAACCCGTCCGAAAACAGCGCTGCAGTAACTAGGAGGATGTTTGCGTTTCAGCTCGGTACCCAGAAAATTGAGAACTTTCTAGAGTGTTTCTGAAGTAGTGTGGACAAACTGGAGACCCTTGGTTCTTAGCCAGGCCAGGCACAGATAACATAAAATGATGCTTCAGCGAAGCAGGGAGGGTGTTCGGGAGTTCTTTCTCCCTTGACTGGAGTAAGTTTGAAAGCTATAGAGAGGCAGCAAGAACAGGCTAGGGAACCATGCTTTGAGGGCATGGAAACTCCATCACTGGCACTCTGAAGCCCTCTCTCTTGTTCGCACCCAGGGCAAAGCCATGCGGAGACTGTTCACTGCCTTCTCGGGCCTGATAGTGAATAGTATGTCCTTTGTGACTCCCTGTACCCTCACATTTGTGGCTCATCCTTGCAGAGCACTCGGGGCCAGATACACTGCAAGGCCCCAGTGTAAGAGCGTAACTAAGAAATGCAGTTGGAAAGACCAGGAAAAAGTTTTATCAGTGTGTAAAGGTGGGGGTGGCTGTTCTGGCGCAGAGAGCCTGTACTGAAACATTTCTCCCACACCTACCGCAGCAAAGTCGTGGTTGTTGACTTGAGTGACAGGGGAATGGGGGACTGGGATGTCTTAGCCCAAACTCCCTTAAGCCTTGGCTTGATGGGTGAGATCTCAAACATAGCCAAAGCCTGTGACATTAAAGGCTTTATAAAAGCAACAGTGCCAGTTTAAAATCAATCTCCCACGTTACCAGCAGCACCAGCAGGTGTAACGTGATCCAGGCAGCCCAAGCCAGGGAGTAAACAAACTGCTGCTTTCTGAACAAGTTGCACCAGAGAAATGCTCCTTACCAGGAATTACAGCGGATATTTGCGCTGAGCTGTCTTGCTATTGAAAGACCTATGAAAATGGACAGACTCCTATGACTGCTAATTCCTCTTATTCCACACAGGTTTTTCCCTTTACACTCAAAACAAGGTAGGGGGAAAATTGTAGGGAAAGATTTCCTTAATAAGCCTGTAAATTTTAGTGGGATTTGGCCTGATCTAGCTCCTTGAACTTCAGTGGGGTCTGTTGCTGGGTTTCCCTAAGCCAGAGAAAACAATCCTACTGCTTCAGATCTGCCACGCCAGTCATCAGCATTTAATTTTGTCCCCAAGGGAGCTGCTTCCTTGCTCTTCTGTTGGGTTCCCAGTCCCATCTCCTGTGAGCAATATTAACTTAAGGGCTTTTTATTTGGCTACACCGGTCACTTTTTCCTCCTTCGATGCCAATGCTTAAGCCTCCCAGCTATGGTGAATTCACCCTCCATAGACAGCCTTACTGTACCCAGACCTTCTCTGGCTGTTTCTTGGGTCCAGTTGAACAGAGGTTGACTGCACCATTTTAGACCATCTCGGTGTTACTGCTTGGCTGCCTAGCTGGGAGAAGGGCATAAAAGTACAAAAGGTGCATCTGTCCCAGTAGAGTTTGGACCTTGACAAGTATTATGGGCTTGGCAGGCTCTAAAACTCACTGCAGAGTCCTTGGAGTACACAGACCGTGGGCACACTACGCTGAGGTACCAGCAGTCCAGCTCTGCTCCTGTGTTTTTGCCTCCCAGCCCGGGTCCCATCCTGTCCCAGAGCGACTCCCCCCTGCCCCCATGCCGGCGCTCTGGTTACTCATGAGTTATGATAACACATAAGCAGCTTAGAGAATTCTTATCAGAATAAGTTGAACACAGTGCAACATTTAACTCTTAATGACAGCCACCTCTGACTGTGAGTGACATGTTATAAATTATGTTTGAACTGTATTTTTTTTTTAGAGGCAGATATTCCCTCTGCCACCCAGTCAGTCCTGTAACGTTGCACTTGTGGCCTTAATCCCACTTGGATGTGTGCCCTGCTGCCTCCACTTTCCGTCACTTGGGTACTTTAGTATTCTTGAACAAGTGAACAATCTTTGTTTCTGTACCTTATTAGGCCAAAGACCATAGCAGCTAGCGATGGCATCAGCAGGCCCTGCAGGCAGGATTCTCTGCAGACACAGCCAACCTCCAACAAACCCCTTTTTATCCTCCTGTTTCTAGGAAGAATTATGATGGTGGTGCCCTGCTGTTGATCAGTCAAATCTGTGGTAGGCCTAGAGATAAGTCCTGTAAGTGTGGTGTACTGTAAAACAGCGGCTCCCATTCATTAGTAGCTTGTGTGTAATAAACCACCCAAAGGAGGGGGGGTGGGGAGGGAGAGGGACGAGCAGCTGCAGTATGCAGGAACAAACAACACAACTCATTCTTGGGAGCCAAAACTTTCTAATTTGCTGCTGGGCTGCTGGGAGCACTCAAATTCTTTCTGATAATACGCTCGTGCCCTCGATGTCTCTCCCCGCGTTTCCCGAGTCCAGCTCTCTTGAGGTCCCTGAGTCTGGGATAGTTTCACTTTGAACCCAAAACACAGAGGGTAGTTGAACAGGGAGGAGGGGAACACGTTGGCTGCCCAATGTTTGCAGACTCCAGCGTAAGAAAGCGATGGACTCGGTCAAGTCGTTCGGCTGGGGAATGTCTGTTCACGTATCTGCTTGTGCAGTGAGTAAACAAAACATCACATGGGCTGCAGAGCTAGCACAGGACACAGAGCAAACCCGTGTGTATCTGAGGCATGCAGGAGGAACGGAGTATCCCAAACGTTGTTAGTGATTTAGAGCCTGGTGCAATATTTCAAAACTTTTATCTCCCAAGAGGCAAAACCCCAAACAAACCTCAAATCAGTAATAGCTGAAAAATTGTCTATCTCGACTGGTTTTTCACATGTTCCTGTAAATGTTTACGTGAGTATAAAATTTCCTCACTGAAACTGCTTGTAGGCATGTGAATTTAAATGGAGTCTGGTAAGTATAACGTAAGATGTTGCATGTGTTGAGACATCAGTAGTTCCTAATGATCACATAGCCGTTATTACATTGGTGCTTTACCATCTCAGCCTTGGACCATTCAACTGCCTGCACAACATTTCAGACCAGGAATTCAAATTATTGCGTGTTGTACAACTGCTCCCATAGACCAGACCTTTGTGCTAAAGTTTGTATTGCACAAGAAAACAAAATTATTTTCAGATAGACGCTGCTCTGGAGGACTGCTGCTTCTTGCAGGAGATGACAGTGACTGCCTTTTCACAGTGGTGTGCCAGGCTGTGACGGTGCTTGGACTGTCTCCTAACATTTGTATAGACAAGGGCTACTTAAATGACAAATTCAGGCTTGGGCCAAACTGCAAGTACTGTTTATGTAGACAAGGCAAAGTCTCTCAGATTTGAGGTTTTCCACTTTTCTGCAGGAGATCCATCTTTCTTTCTCCTCCCCTGACCTCTTGGGGAGCTATGCTGTGAGTTGTCAGAGCCTTAAGCTCTGAAATGAGAGGTGCTTCTGCCAGACTGCTGCTTGGTAAAGTTACCCAGTGGTTTGAGGTAAAAATGTTCCAAAGAGCCCTTGTATATATCCACCAAATGGTGTTAACTAAATCTGGGCATAAAATGGCCACAAAGGTGATCGGGGGACTGGGAAGCCTGCCATATGAGGAAAGCCTGGGTTTGTTCAGCCTTGAGGAAAGAAAGTTTAAGGGAAACCTTATCCCCATGTCCCAGTGTTTAAAGGGTGGCTACAAAGAAGATGAAGACTCCCTTTTCACAAGGAGTCCCATGGAAAACATGAGGGGTAATGGGCACAAGTTACTCCTGGAGAGATTCCGACTGGGCACAAGAGGAAAATTTTTCACAATAAGAGCAATCAGGCACTGGAATAATCCCCCCGGGGAAGTGGTGGATTCCCCAACATTGGACACTTCTAAGATTCAGCTGGACAGGGTGGTTGGCCACCTTGTCTACACTGTGCTTTTACCAGGAAAGTTTGGACTAGATGATCCTCAAGGTCCCTTCCAACCTGGTATTCTATGATTCAAAACAGTTTTCTCATCTTCTGAAAGTTTAGGTAGAGAAGTTTAGGTAGTCCAGCACTATGAGTTCCCACTGTGGCATTTTGGTGATTTACAAAGTCAAAGTAATTTGGCATTTTGATTTCCCAAACTTAGATAGATGGGTAGGTGGGTAGGTTCATTTATAATCAAAATTCTGTGGTCAGTGCCCATTTTGAACATGGAGCCTGATGTCACTACTCCTTGCTGTTTTCAGGATGTCTAACAAGAGTTGCAACGAGGAGGACTTTATGGGAATCTGTCCATGACTTCTCAACAAAAATGACAAAGGTAACACCTCTGGTAATCACTGTTGTGTACCTTTACTGTATAAGCAGATGGGTCTGTAGCAGACCATACTGGTCCTTGTGCAATTCATGTGCAATAATGTTATATATCGCATGGCCATTATCAAAAGCAGAGCACTTTTTGGATGGACCCGCTCCCCTGATAGGAGGCAACATACAGCAGTTACCTACCTGAGGTCATGCTGTCAGCAAAACATTTGAAGTTATAGATGAGACCAGCAAACTGAGTGAATGTGCTGTGTAGGTATGAAATCAGGGGAGGGAGTTTTTTCGGAGGGTTTGAGCCCCACCTCCAGCACCAGCAAAGCCATGTAATCCTTCCCTTTGCAATTAGAGCTGCAAAATAACCCCCGGGCCAGAGCACTCACACAAGGAGCAATTAGACCAGCTAGACAGTGGGAAAAGCTAAAAATAGTCAATAATATGCCTCCACAAATATACCTTGAATCATTAGAAAGGGATGTTTCCTGAATTTCCTGGGAATCAGTTACTGCTTTTATAATCTCATAGTGTTCTGCTAGAAGGGCTGTATTCTAACTGTTCTTTGACAGAGGTAAAGATGAGTAACCCAACTCTCTTCTTACACTTAAGACACTGAAAAAATCTGAGTAAATCCTGAGATTGTCATATCTAGCCAACTGAAATCGGGGGAAATGAATTGGTTCATATTGAACTGAGGCAAAATATGCCTCAGTGTTCTATTAAGAGAAGCAGGTAAGTAATTTGGGGATAAAAATTGACTTATTTTGGGTTATTTAATGGCTCAACCCAGTTTTGTCTAAAAAAAGGATATATGAATCAATGATACTCATCCATTAGCTGAATCCAAACTATTATAAAAACTCTCCTTTTAGAGAGTATATTATTTGTGAAAGGCTGACAACTGCTGACTTATTTTGCAGTACTCCTGAGCTGGATGAAATGTAAAAAAAAAAAAAAAGGCTCATCAGAGCAGGATATTTTTAGTCCTTTGCAGGGAACTATATATGATGCTATTTAATTAAGAATGACTCTTAAAGAATGATTTGGCTCTTTCTTGCAGAGAAATTACATCTCTGATGCAATTTTAAAAATGTAACAAAACTCAGACCTGGGGCTTGCAAAAAGCAAAGCAAAAAAGTATGTTCAGAGTTAGCTGTTTACTAAGGTGAAAAAAGAGGCTACAGGTTGCTATGATTTCTTGTTGTTGGTAACATGTATGAAAACTGTTGTGAACAGTAAATTACACTGTTCTGTCTTTTCTGTCTACAGGAGATAACTCAAGAGGAAATGAAACCTGTATAAAATTAAACAGCGAATTCTGTGTGGATCTGTGTGCACATACATGTGTGCATGCATGGACTGTTGCTGGCATGCTTGTTTTCGTGGAAGATTCAGTGATGGATGACTTAACATAAACTTTAAGTGCATGGCAGACTGGTTTTGTGTGGTGCCTGCTGCTTGTTTCATGAGCTGCTCTTTCCCATCCCAAGCAAGCGTAACGCCTTGCAGCGCTGTCAGCACCCCACCAGCCTTGTGACAGTTGAGGATGTGCTACTGAATTCCGGGAGCTCTTTTCCCACTGCTGACTTGGAGCAGAAGCGACTTTGGTGGCGAAGGGGTTGCACTGGGGCCAGCCGGGCTCTTGGGGTGCAGCACATCAGCAGGAGCCCCTGGAGTTCCTGCAGGTGTTGAACATCCGAGGGGTCTCTGGCAGTGTTGCATCCACATCCATCACATGCATCCAGGAGCGTGAGCGTGGTGGGTGTTTGCTCGTCCGGCTGCTGGACACATGGTGACCGGGGCTGGGGAGAGCAGTTCTGGAGCTGGTCTGGGTGCTGGGGTTATCGAGTCCACCCCATCCCTACAGCTCTGCACAGCCCCCTGGCCTGTGGGAAAGTGTGCACAAAGTTTCTTCTAAACGAGAGTTTAATACGCTTTCAGACTTGACAACCTCCTTTTAAATGAAAACATTTATATTGAGCAAAAGGCACATTTGCCTCTCCAAATAAATGGAATTATAGTTCCAAGATCTGACTTAATCCTGAAGCTCTTACACTGTACAGTAAGTAGAAAAGAAAGAGGATTGCTCGGAGGAGCAAGGGTTAGCAGGATCAGGCTCCATTTTATATAATCTTGCTCATTTTCCTTCTGATATTTAATATACCTATTTCAGAACTCCCACTGGCTGTATATACTTCACATCTATTACCTAACGGCAAACAAACTAATAATTGAAATGAATGAGGCATGGTACGGAGAGTGCCCATCCAGCTTTCCTGCTAGGAAAATTTCAGGATTGTTAAAGAAACCAAAAATGCCATTCTTCCAGATGTATTTTTATCATAAGGTCATGTCCTTTTAAAACTAGTTTCAGGACTTTTCTCAAATGTGTTGTAACTATTTGTTCTTTTCCTACATTGTTTTCTTCATGAAAATGTATTTAAAATCTACATTGACATTTCAAAGGATTTGAGGGAAGATGTTTACAAAGGGTGCCGTTTGTATTTGTTATATTTCTAAAAATGGAACTTCTGATCAGAAAACATTAAAATATTTTTTGTATTACCTTTTGTGGTTTTATGACATTTGTGTATTTCTAGTTATGATTTTGGTACCCAATCCCATGTTACGAGGCTAATTAAGGAAAGTGGGATCAAAAGTTCTATTGTTCCTACAAGTCAATATTCTACAGCCCCACTGCTGGTCTTGCTACTCTCTGAGTTCAATGATTTGAATTTTGATGTAATTTTTTTTTGCTAAAGCCTTAAGATACCTGTGTCCCAGTCAGTAGATTGTATATTCAGGACATGAAAAGCCTAAAGAAGCCTGGGCAAGAAGAATAGTTTGTTTAGGGGATGCATTCAAATGAGTCTCCAGCAAAGCCTAAAATAAAGACTGAATGAAATTTTTTGTGGCAGTTTCCTTTGTGGACTGCAAAAAAAATATGTACAGAGAATTGGACAAAGAAAGTTTTGCAAGCTTCGTGTGAAAGCTGAACCCTCTTGCATGGAAAAAAAAAAATCCTTCTGAAAGATGTAACTTAGTTTCTCCTGTGCAAAGAGGAAACCTGTCTGGTAGTTCATGCACTGCTATATTGTGACCCTGTGAGGGGATTTTGTACATGGACAAAAACTGGGCCAGCAAATGACATGGTCAATGTTAGAGGCCAAGGTGAAGCTTTGTTTCTTCCTTCTGCCTCGGCTGAGCTTTCATGGGTGATGTAATGGGGGGTTCTGCAATACCCTACTGCCTGCAGCTCCCTGTGCCCTCATCCCTCCTGGCACCTTCCCATCCTGCCCTCATCTTCCCTTGCAGCACCTTCCCATCCCGAACCCCATCGACAGAACAAGGGGGTGGCTTTCTGCCAGCTCGGCCGCAGGCTTGGTTCGGTACGGGGTTAGAGCATCGGGACCGCTGAGGCTGCCACCTGCTGAAGCCCCATGGGGACCCCAGGGGCACCCTCCGGGCTGTTTGGGCAGACTGGAGCTGGTGAAGCCCCTCATTGTCACTGAGGTCGGGTGGGCAGTGGTGGCCTGCACCAGCCCATGTCCTGCCTGCACTGTCCCACCTGCGTGTGTGTGTGTGTGTGGGGGGGGTCTGGGGCAAACATCGCTTTTGTGAAGTAAGTTTATCAGCTGTGGGGCCTGGTTTTGGGGCACAGGGTCAAACCGAGCCAGAAATACAGGAGATTCCCAGGCAACATCTCCACCCCACTGCAGGGTCTGGCTCTTGCTGCTGTAATTCTGGAGTGAAATGAACAGTTTGTGCTAAGAAAATAAAGCAGCGTTTTTAACCTTTTGCAACTGCAAATAATCAAAAGCAACATTTAGATTTAAAATAAACCGTTCTTTTCCTGACGGAGATGTTGCAGGAAACAGCCAGTTCCAGGTTGAAACCAGCTCACTTTTTCTTTTTAGATTCAAATTTAAACTAGTTTCTATTCAAAGTTTTTAAAGGGACATACACATCATTCTTCAGCATGACATCTGAGTCTCACCCCCTACCAGGAAGGATACCTTAACATCCCTGATGCTGAAAAGATTAGAGAGAAAAATAGCTTGGGTTTTTTTTTTTGTACATCGCTTCACATGGTCACTTGGTACTACTTGGAGTAAAGTGAGTTCATTGTAACTCCTCTGCTTTGTGTTTCAACTTTCAGTTTGCATGAGCCTTTCTGTGGCTGTGCAGACGTGGACAGAAAAAAAAATTAAAAAGCAAGGAAAAGTCTGCCCTCAGAAAAAATCACCATGTACATTATATGGGCTACATGGGCTAGACACATGTGGGCTATGTGAAAAGAAGATTGTTTTGTAGTTGATTTTGAGGGAACCATCAAGTTATCAGTGCCTCCCTAAAATAATAAAAAAAAATCAAGCTAAACCATCCCTAAGGGCTAGTGTAACTTTACTACAAACTGGTTTTGCAGAAATTGCTTTAAACACAGCTGTGAAATCGACGTGGGCAAATCTGTGAATATTTTTCTCTTAAGTTTTTTTTCAGCAGAAATCAAGGAAAGTTTTTTCTTTGTTTGTTTTGTGACAGGGAAGCTGACCACAGCTATGCAGAACTAATATATTATTAAAGTATTCCCTCCATATCTCCCTATCTTTCTAAAGCCATTCCAGCCAAAAGCTTTTGTAAGCGTGTGGGGGCAGCACTGACCTTTTAATTCTGTTTATATGATGACTAGAAAAAATAAATCCCTGGTCGAGGAGGACCTGAACTTGTAGGAGTTGCCTCAAGACTTAAGCAACTGTGACTTGAGGCGTTTCTGCAGGCAGCCAGCCCTGCTCCAGTTCTCCCGGCTGGCAGCAGGCACCTGTGGGGTTGTCACTGGTTTAAGGGAGGCGCAAGGGCACAAGCGCTTGTCCCAGTAGGCCTAAGGGATGGACAGTGCTGAGGTCCTGTGCCTGTGAGCGCTTACACACGGCTCAACATCGTCTCAGATGCGGTTTTGCTCGCGCCAGCACGGGAGCCCAGTGCCAAGGCTGGTGGTTGGGCTGAGGTTCCTGGGTTGCTGAGGTGCTTGGTGGGTGCTCACCAGCTCCAGAGCAACCTGTGGGGCTGCCTCACGCCTACAGCAGTCCTGCCCATCAGCGGGGCTCGGGGCTGGCAGCATGGAGGTTGGTGGGCTGGCTCTTCGGGAAGCACCCTGCCACACCAGCCGCCCTCCCTGCTGCCAGCCATCTCCCTGCCGCAGCATGCCGGCGAACAGGGCCCGGAGAAGCAGCCATGGACGCAGGGTGGGCCTTGCAGGGACACAGCTCGGCAACCCGGGGCTGAACACAGCTCTGCAAAAGCACAGGGGGATGTTCAGTGGTGTGGCTGTGGCATGTCTGGTTCCAGAGCGTCCCTCGCTCCAGGACAGCCGCTCACCCAGCCCCACGTTGCTGTTTGAGTTTGCTTTCAGCAGGTTTTGCTCTCCAAAGCAGATCCTGTGGGAGCCTCTTCTCCAAGGGACAACTGTACTGCAAAAACACATCCAGGGAGTGTGAGGATGCAGTTAATGCACAGCAGCAAAAAAAGAAGAGAGAAATACCCGTTGCATCTGTGAGATGAGAGACTGCAAGGCAGCCCAGGGGTAGGCAGGAATGGGGGCCGTGTTAGTCTGTCCCTAGGAGTCAAACAGCAGCTTTCAGCAAATATATCCTTTTTATTCCTTTTTTTTTTTTTTTTTTTTTTTTTTTTTTTTTTTTTTTTTTTTCTTCAGCCACTTGCTCCTACATAACTGCATGAAGATAGAAAGGCACAACCAGTGCAAACCCAGGCGCTGCCCAGGGCCGCAATCCTGTGCGGTGCTGAGCCCCCGCAGGGAGCCAGGCAGTGCCCGCTGCTGCCATCAGCGCCGGGGGCATTACGGGCATTTCACAGCTTTCAGGCAGAGGAACAAATTGTAAACTGTAGTGTTGCATCCATGTGTGAACACACACACACACACACACACACACACACACACACACACACACACAAAGCCGCCAGCAGCTGATGCTTCACACTAATCACTCTTATAAATGCCTCTAATTAGACTTATAAATACTCCTAACTTTCCTACAGGGAACAAAATGCCCAACGGACTTAATGTAAACTCAGGGGAAAAAAAAGAGTTAAAAAGATGAGTAAAAGCTATTTTTAAACCTGGCAAATCCTAGCCCAGCACTCTGGAAAATTCAACCAGTACTACAGAAATCCTAAATTGCAGTGCCCTGCACCCCACCGGAGCCCTTCAGGCTGCTGGAGGGGGGGCGCAGCATGGGCAGATTGGGGGTGAGCAGCCGGGGGAGGGGCTGCAGCCCTCAGCCTTTGTAGCCGGAGGGCGAAACATTGGGATCCTGCAGAGAGGGAACACAGAAACCCTCAAGGCAGAGAGAAATAGGCCTAGACAAAAGCCCGTTACATGGTTGCAAATCACCCCACTGCTGTTATTTTATTTACCGCTGTCCGCAGGAGGATTGTTTTCTCTTGCAAAATTTAAGCTTTTTTTTTTTTTTTTTTCTTTTTTTTTCCCTCCTCCTTGCCTCACAACAGTGGTCACTTATACCACAGTGCCACATACAGACTGAACTCACCTCCGCTCCCAGGCAGGGAGGGGGTGCTGCCGGCAAAGGCCTCCCGAGCATCTGGGTGCTGTTTTGATGAAAAAAACCAAACCTTTTTCCCCAGGAAAGAGCCCCTGGGCAGTTTATTTCAATGCCCGGGTGAGGAGCACAGCACAGCACAGCCAAGCCACCCTGTGTGTTGGCTGATGCACAGGCACTCACACAACCCCCATGACCTTCCCTGCTGTGCCAGTAAAAACTCCCAATGATTATCATAAAACTTTTTTTTTTTCATTAATCTTTTTCAAAGGATCTCTATATTATTTTCTGAGGGTGTAAGAAAAAGGAACAAAGGCCTGTGGGACATCACATTAGTTTCTTGAATGTTTGTTTGGGAAATAAATTCCCTTTCCAGTGTCTCCGCAGTGCCGTGGGGTCACGCTCACCTTCCCCGCGCTCTGCAGGCTGATTAGGTTTAGGACTGGCAGATTTTAACCATCGTGGTGAATAGGAGTCCTCAGTATAAAACAACCTGTCAAGTTTCGTGCTTTGAAAGAGGTGCTAATATGGACTGGGATTTGCTGGCAGTTTCCTCCACCTTCAGCTTTGGGGTCTGTAAAACACCTTTTGGACGTTATCTGCCCTGTGCATGAAATCATCAGCGTGGAAAGGAAGAAGAAAAGACAAAGACTATGTCCCTGTGGGGAAGAAATTACTCCGGCCCTTGCTGTAAACATTTTTTTTTTCAGTGATGTCTGTGGTGGCCTGGCTGTGGGGAGCACAGGGTGAGTATGGGGGGACCCTGGTGAAGCCCAGCTGCCCCAGCCCCAACCAGCCACCCTGCAGGTGGGAGGTGAGCTCTCCCTCCTCTGACAGGTATTTACAAGGTGTTTGAACAGGTAATTAGCGCCCAAACCAGGCTTCAGGAAACCCTCCTGGTCATCCCGCCGCAGCACAGGCAGTGAGCTGGAGGGCTGATTTTCGACGGCTGATTTACCCCGAACAAAGGCTCCAAACAGCACTGAGCGCCCGACTTAGGGATGGTAACTTTAGAGCCAGCGGGCTCCTTTCCCATCAGTTTAAAACAGTGTTATTTTTTTCCAAGCTGATAACATTTTAAACATATTGCAAGATGGA